CTCTGCTGCAGCCTCGACCTCCTGGGCCCCGGTGATCCTTCCGCCTCAGCCTTCCAAGCTGCTGGAACTACAGGTACACGCTACCATCCCCGGCTGATTTTTTGATTTATTGTAGAGATGAGGGCTCGCCAAGTTGCCCAGGCGGGTCTCAAACCTATGGGCTCAGGCAATCCACTCACCTCGGCCTCCCAAAGGCACGGGGATGACAGACTGAGCCACCGAGCCCGGCTCACAATTGCTTTTTAAATCAGTTAACAGAAAGAAAAAGAAACACGCATGTATACAGTAGATCCTACTCCTCCAACTCCCTCCTGTCAGCAGTTTTGCTTCCCACGGTTTCTGTTACTCTTGGTTAACCACGGTCTGAAAATATTAATAGAAAATTCCAGAAATAGCCGGGCGCAGCGGCTCATGCCTGTAATCTCAGCACTTTGGGAGACAGAGGCAAGAAGATTGTCTGAGTTCAGAGGTTTGAGACCAGCCTGGGCAACCTGGCAAGACCCGGTCTCTACAATAAATAATTTAAGAAAGTAGTCAGGCATGGTGGTGCATGCCTGTGGTTCCAGCTACTTGGAAGGCTGATATGGAAGGATCATTTGAGCACAGCAGGTTGACACTGGGGTGGCCATGAGCGTGCCACTGCACTCCAGCCTGGGCAACAGAGTGAGACTCCGACTCAAAAAAAAAAAAAAGAAAGAAAGAAAAATTCCAGAAATAGGCTGGGCTCGGTGGCTCAGCCTGTAATCCCAGCACTTTGAGAGGCCAAGGCAAGAGGATTACCTGAGCCCAGGGATTCGAGACCCACAGGGGCAATTTGGCGAGACCTCATCTCTACAATAATTAAAAAAATTAGCTGGGCGTGGTAGTGCGCGCCTGTAGTTCTGGCTACTTGGAAGGCGGAGGTGGAAGGATCCCAGAGCCCAGCAGGCCGAGGTTGCGGTGGGTAGGAGCATGCCACTGCCCTCCCGCCTGGGTGACACAGTAAGACTCCAACTCAAAAAAATTACAGAAATAAACAATTTTTAAGCTTTAAATTGTACACCATTCTGACTGACGTGATCTCATGCCTGCCCTGTTCAGCCCGAGATGTGAATCATTCCTTTGCAGCATGTCCACACTGTCTACACTGTCTGCCCAGTAGCCATCCTGGCTGTCAGACTGTCACAGTATTGCAATGCTTGTGTTTAAGCAATTCTTATTTGAGTTATTATGGCCTCAAGGCACAAGAGTAGTCATGCTGGCAATTCGGGTATGCCAAAGAGAAGCCATGAAGTGCTTCCTTTAAGTGAAAAGGGGAAGCTCTCAACTTAATACGGAAAAGAAACAATCGTATGCTGAGGTTGTTAAGATAAAATCTTCTATCCATGAAATTGTGAAGAAAATAAATTTGAGCTGGGCTCGGTGGCTCAGCCTGTAATCCCGTGCCTTTGGGAGGCTGAGGTGAGTGGATTGCCTGAGCCCGCGGGTTCGAGACCCGTCTGGGCAACTTGGCGAGACCACATCTCTACAATAAATCAAAAAATCAGCCGGGCATGGTAGCACGTGCCTGTAATTCCGGCCACTCAGAAGACTGAGGCAGAAGGATCGCCGGAGCCCAGCAGGCGAGGCTGCGGTGGCCAGGAGCGGCCACTGTACTCCAGTCTGGGCGACTGAGTGAGACTTCAACTCAAAAAAGAAAAAAAAAAGAAAATAAATTTGTGCTAATTTTACTGTCTCACCTCAAACTACAAAATTACAGCCACAAGAGTGGTATGTGCTAAGTTAAGGTGGAAAAGGTATTACTTTTGTGGGTGGAAGGTCTGAATAGAAATGTGTTCCAATTGAGGGCAATCTGGTTTGGTACTATTCACACTTTCAGGCATCCACTAGGAGTCCTGGAACATTATCGCCTCAGGATAAGGGAATACTACTTTGTTTTTGAGTCGGAGTCTCACTCTGTCACCCAGGCTGGAGAGCAGTGGCAGGCTCATGGCTAGCGCAGCCTCGACCTGCTGGGTTCAGGCGATCCTTCCGCCTCAGCCTTCCAAGTAGCTGGAACTACAGGCACGTGCCACCATGCCATGCCATGCCATGCCCAGCTTATTTTTTGATTTATCATAGAGACGAGGTCTCGCCAAGTTGCCAGGTTGGTCTTGAACTCTTGGGTTCAGGCAGTCCACTCACCTCAGCCTCCCAAAGTGCTGGGATTACAGGCTGAGCCACCGAGCCTGGCCTGTACTGTCTTTTATACTGTCATGATTACCTTCACTGTTGCTCTTTGTTTTTCGGTGTGGTTCTGAGTCACTGTCTGAGATTACTTGCTTTCAGCCTAAGGAACTTCCTTTAGTATTTCTTGTAAGCGGGCTGATGATTTGCTGGCCAAGGAGGATACTCATTTTTGGTAATGAGCTCTGATCTGAGAGGGCAGGGACACGCCCTCACCCACACAGTCCATGTGATTTGGGCAGGCTGACCTCACTTCAGCCACCATTAGGCAAGTGACTAAGCCTGGTCACTCCTTCCAGACCACCTCTCAACAAGTCAAGGCCAGGAGAACCACCCACACTGAAGTCAATCCACGGGTTAAAAGAGGCAACTGAGCCGGGCTCGGTGGCTCAGCCTGTAATCCCGCACCTTTGGGAGGCCGAGGTGAGTGGATTGCCTGAGCCCGCGGGGGTTTGAGACCCGCTTGGGCAACTTGGCGAGACCTCATCTCTACAATAAATCAAAAATTAGCCGGGCGTGGTAGCGTGCGCCTGTAGTTCCAGCTACTTGTAAGGCTGAGGCGGAAAGATTGCTGGTGCCCAGCAGGTTGAGGCTGCGGTGGCCGGGAGCGGCCACTGCACTCCGGTCTGGGTGATAGAGTGAGACTCCAACTCAAAAAAAAAAAAGAGGCAACTGGAGAAAGACCACAAGCCTGAATCTAGCCCTGCCTGAAGCACACCTACCAAGGGACTTGTCCTTTTTTGTGAGCTAATCAGTTATTTCTTCTTTAAAGTAGTTTGAGTTGTTTCTGACCCTGCAACATTAAGAGTCCTATCTATTATTCTCTTCAGGAGACCAAAATCTCTTTTTCTAGGCCCCATCACCACATGCAAAGCATTCAGCCTCATGAATCAAAACCGATCAAAATATGAGCCTTTATAGAAGTTTCTGGAGAGAAGGGGAGAGAAATAAAAACAGGATATAAATAACCATTATTTACAACTTTCAACAGTAAAGCTCTCCCAGACACTCCTTCCAGCTTGAACTCCAAAGCGTCTTGGGTACCATCAAGCAAATACAAAAGCATTCGGGCGATGACTCCAGGTGCTGATGAAGAGACAGGTCAGGCCTAGAAACGGAGAGTAGGCTGCATCAGAAAGGGTTGCCCCTCCGCCTGCCCTCCCTCCCCCCTGGGAGTAGAAATCCGGGAGAACCTCTGGCTGAGGCTCTCCACTGTGACCTCCTCAAACCCATAGGATTTCCAAAGAGATGATAAGTAGCTCAAAACGACCTCAAGAGAGATGCAAGATGCAAAAGAGAATTAAGCCTGAACTGAAAAGTGGGCTTAAAAACCTTCCAGAGGAGCTGGGCGCGGTGGTTCACGCCTATAATCCCAGCATTTTGGGAGGTGGAGGTGAGAGGATTGCCTGAGTCCTCGGGTTCGAGACCAGTCCGGACAACTTGGTGAGACCTCTTCTCTACAATAACTCAAAAAATTAGCCGGGCGTGGTGGCTCGCGCCTGTAATTCCAGCCACTTGGAAGGCCGAGGCGGAAGGATCACCGGAGCCCAGGAGGTCGAGCGTGCGGTGGCCGCGAGCGTGCCACTGCACTCCAGCCTGGGCGACAAAGTGAGACTCCGACTCAAACAAACAAAAACCTTCCAGAGACTCGCCTCGACTCGTGACACACAAAATGAAGCAAAGCTAGAGAAAAAGCAGGCGCCGCCCCAGCCCGGCGGCCAAGGTGTGTAGCGGACACAGAAGGGGCGTGGCTACCTCCCGAGCATAGATCGAAGGCGCAGATATGACGTAAATCCCTCGAGAGTCTCCATCTTCAGGGCGATTCCAATCTACGGACGAGCTGTGGGAGGAAGGAAAGACGGAGAGAGCCAGACGCTTTCAATTAATTATCCGATCTTGTTTTCCCGACCCACCACGTAGGAGGACCCCAAAGGCAGCGGTAAGCGAGACCAATCAGGAAGACCAAGGAGCTCAGCCAATCGCACCACGGGGTCGGACGCAAGCAGCCAATAGCGCGAGGCCTGCGCCTGCGGCCCCGCCCCTCACCTCGGGCCATCCCCGGAGCCCTCCGGCGTCCTCAGGTTGTTGAGTGCGTCGGGGAGCGCGTGGACCGACGGCTCCGGGGTCCCCGCCAGCAAGCGAGGCCCAGTGTCCCGGCCTTGGCCACGGCGGCGCACGTGGACCAGCAGGAGCGCTGCGCCGGCCAAGCCCGCGGCCGCCAGCAGTCCCAAAGCCGGCGGCAAGAGGACGCGCTGGGGGTCCCCCAGCCTCG